GTCTGTGGCTGTCTGTGGTTGTATGTGTGCTGTCTGTGCAGCTGTCTGTGGCTGTTTGTGGCTGTCTGTGGGTGTCTGTGTGCTGTCTGTGGGTGTCTGTGGGTGTCTTCATGTTTTACTATTACCCCGCCTTTTTGTTTAATTTATACAGCAGTTCAACATGCCAAATGTTGTCAAAAGCTTTTGCATAGTCGAGGAATATCGCTACTGTCTGAATTCTCACTTCTTTCTTATTTCTTATTTCATGCACTAAATCCACTGATTGATTAACTGTCGAGTCTGGTTGAATAAAGCCAAATTGAAAGGGCGTTAAAAGATTGTGTTCTTTTAAATGTTCATGAGCCTTTCTAAAGTCTACAAGCTGACTGATGCCCGAAGTCTTTTGTCAGAGAACAATACAACGAAAAATAATAAATTTACAAATATAATAAACTGTGTAGATTCTCCATCGTGATATTGTCTTCCTAAATTTCTACTCGAAGCAGAGCTCTTTCAGTGAAGTGTTCACAATATTGTTTTAGTCTTGGTTATTGATGTACATATGTTCTAGTTGTGTAGGATGAAACTCCCAATGCAGCTCTTTAATCCTTTGTTCTGAAGTGTTTGAAGTTCGTTCCATATTTTGTCTTTTGCTCTTAGGCTGTTAGACCAAATGTTAATACGGGTCCAATTAGAGATTTGAATAAGTTCACCACGATTCGATCCTGGAGTTGATCGTGAAAGTAATCTCAACAGATTGATTCTGGAATTGACCTTTTCTTTGACATGTTTCACATGTGCTTTCCACGAAAGTGTTTTGTGGTAAATCATTCCTACATACCTTGCGTGTGCCTGTGGACGAACCCTTGTTGCTCCCACAATCACTTGCACTTGATGTTTGTATTGTTTACGTGGGTGTACACTAAAATGAAGCATTTCAATTTCACTTGACTGTAAAGTTAACGTCCAGGTTTCACACCAACGAGCGAAAATATTCATGGATTCCTGAAGACGCCTATTTAAACCAGAAGTAGTGTTACAGGATGTCCATAAAGCCGTATCGTCGCCAAAAAGTCCATGATCCGTGTGAAATGGCAATCCATCTATAGAATCAGCTGTAAACAAAATGTATAGCGGAGGAGAGAGTGATTATCCTTGAAAAGTACCACTTTTCAGACTGAAAGTGAAAAATCTTTCAAGTTTACACTTGAATTTTCACTTGAATTTTCATCTGCAAACTGGGCATATGTTAGGCTTCTGACTGAAACTGTACTATCGTCGGCGCCAAAACACCGTGCATTTGGTTGTTTTCTTAATGACATTTGACAGAGATGAGATAGAGACCTGCGGTTTTCAGATTCTGAAACTAGACACTTTGGGACGTAAATCTATGAGAAAATCAGGGCTCGCGATTAGGTTTACCATAGTGTACCATTCGAGGCAAAATCCGGAAGCTTACCGTCCCCAAACCACACTATGAAATCCAATCTCAAATAATACCAGCCGATTAGTTCCATCTCCTTTGGTTCCGGAGATACACACGTTTTCCGAGGACACACCTGTCTCGTTCCAGACATGTTTAGGAATCTCAGAATCATATGGATCATAGGTAATCGACCACGCTGATCATCGTGGCAATGTTTGTTTCATTCCTCACGCAACCACAACTTCAGAAAAGCCAATTTGGTGAAAACCCAATTTTTCACCTGTTACCGTCAGAAATTAAAAATCGTATATTTCACTCATTTCTCGTCCAAGAGGACTCAGATTTTCAGAAAATTCTCAGAATACGTCACAGAATGTAGATCGAGTCGGAAAAATTACATATGGTTTTCAGTTTACGCATACAGTTTTTCATCTTCAAAAACCATCACTATGTTAAACAAAAATCTGCAAGAAGCCACCAATGTTTCAACAGTGGTGTAAGTACTCTCTAAAAAAAAAAAGGTTTATTACGAAACTTAAAAGGGTATAGAGAAGTGCAACCATTTCTAAACCGTTTTAAGTTTCGTATGAAACCCTTTTTGGTTTCGTACTTCGACTACGAAACCCTTATGTTCGCCAAAAACCATAAAAGGTTTCGTAGTCGAAGTACGAAACCAAAAAGGGTTTCATACGAAACTTAAAACGGTTTAGAAATGGTTGCACTTCTCTATACCCTTTTAAGTTTCGTAATAAACCTTTTTTTTTTAGAGAGTAGTGGAAACTAGAGATTCAACCAACAAAAACACAAAATACTACACTTCGCACCTCATCCAAAGAAAAAGTATAAAAACGAAGTTAATGTGCACGTGGAAAATGCAATAGTTAGTCCTTAAACATCAGCTAGATACCTCGATGTGATCTTTGACGGAAAACTGGAATGACGAGCTCACATTCAACACATAGAAACAAAAATACATTCGAGAGTAATACTGTTACGCTTCTTGGCAAGGTCAACTGGGGAAAAAGTCAGTCCTAAAATCATGATCAATCTATATATGTCACTGATCAGAACAGTTATAACACACCCGTCAGCACAGGAAAAGAAAAAATATGGGAAAGACTGTAGGTTGGTCAGAACAAGGCAATTAGGGCAGCATTAGCTGTTCCAATCAGAGATCCGCACGGGCCGAAAATTTTTGGCCCGGCTCGATTATGAAAGTTTCCGGACCAAGCCCGACTCGGCCCGCCCAAACGTGTAACTTATCTGGTCTGGCCCGACTAATTCTGAAACTTCTCTGATCCAGCCCAACCCGACCACTTTTTAAAATTTTGTGGCGTGATTTTTTTCTTGTATTTGTGATGTTTCTGCTGACTAAGTGGTGTAAATGTATTTCTCAAGCTAATATTAATATTTTTATGATTTCTTGATTTTCATTTTTTCAACCTTTAAAGGCATTAGCTAAACGAAGCCATTAAGATGTTGCGTAACAGTGATAATACTCTTTCTTAGTAGTGAGTATACACATAAATTACAAATCCACGCATGCTTAAAAATTGTGAGTTCGGCTCTACCCGACCGAAATACTCTGCAGCTCGACCCGACCAAAATACTTTGCGCCCAAGTCCGGCTCACTCTATAAAATTGTCTAGCCCGGCCCGTGCTGATATCTGGTTCCAGTATACACATCCGTGGACTATATACATCGGATCATCAAACTTCAAAAGATAAAATCAAACTCATTCAAACTAACTCAAGTCTTTATGTAAATAGTTTTTCAGGCTACTGTTAAGAGGGGATGGGGGGCCAACTCGATTTTTCCTATCAGTTTGTAGAGGACACTTTGAAGTATATATTTCAATACCTTTTTCGGGTACCGCCCACATGAAAAAAATCGTTAGAAACGGCACGAAAAACGCGTTTTTTCCGAACGCGTTAGCGAACGATCGTTAAAAGAGCCGTTTAAAGGCGTTTTTTGTCGTTCAAAACTTTCGAATAACGCGTTCTTCGACAACGCGTTTGCTGACGATCGTTGAATTAACCGTTTTCTGGCGTTTTTATTGAATGCGTTTTCTAACGACGTTAAAATGATCGTTGAAACGCGTTTATTTCATATAAAAACGCGTTTTAAAGTGTCGTTTCTAAACGCGTTTACAAAAGAAAGAAATAACGTCGTTAAAAAACGCGCTCAACAAAAACGCCAGAAAACGGTTAATTCAACGATCATTAGCAAACGCGTTGTCGAAGAACACGTTATTCAAAAGTTTTGAACGACAAAAAACGCGTTTAAACGGCTCTTTTAACGATACTTCGCTAACGCGTTCTTTGTGTCGTTTCTAACGATTTTTTCTTGAAATTGAAATTTTTCGTTATTTTGAACTGCTAAGTACTCATTTTACTGCTCTCCATTAGTTGTCAGCTAGTGTAATGTGAAGAGGATATGGTCGAATGGGAAAAGTGAGAGAATGGTAGGACAAAAGTTGATGGTTCAAACCTCTGTATCCTGCCTCTGTTTTTATTTCTGAATCATTTTAAAACGCGTTTATTAACGTTTTCATTGTCGTTCATATTCATCGAAAAACACGTTTCAGCGACAAAATAAGAAAAGAAGAACAAAAAAAAGCTTTTCGAGGACGAGGGTATTCAAGAATAGCTGAACATTGTATGAATTTGAATCATGGAAACAAGTGACTAATACTATTATTGCAGTTGAATAAAATCATACAAAAAGAACAATAAAAGACAGTTTACTCATGGAACTGGTTCGATTAAAAGAAGGCAAAGACGTTTATTCACAAAAAAACTTTATTTTGAATGTTTTTCGATCAATATTAAAAGACACAAAGGAAATTTAAAAATTTAGTAAAATAAATTTATTTTACTTTTGCGTTCTGTCACACGTTGTTTTATCCTTACTACAGTTAGTTTAAACCTGTTTTGCTTATTGTACATTTTGACTGATGATGTGAAAAGTGTTTCACGAAACGTCTCTAATAAACAATGTTTCAATCGGTGTCTATAACTCTATTATTCTTTAGTCAACTTCAGTTTGAAATGACGTCTAAGATTTTAAAAACTCCTATAATTAGTATTACATGAAGATTTTTTAATGTTCATCAGCCAACGTGTTAGTCTGAGACTATCTGACAACTTCTATTCAAAAGGGCACTCTCTTTGCACAAGAAAAACAAAAAATTGAAGTATTAAAAATGTGAATGTCATAAGACTATCTACAAATAACATGTTGACTTAATTCAATGCTAGAAAATTCTGGATCAATAAATATCGATGATGTTTCTGTTGGGCTATGTACAATTATTTGTCTTATATGTGTATCGCGTCCACTTTGATGATTGGCTAATACAGCTATTTGTATCATCCATGTTTTAATAGGATTTCCACGTGTATCTCTTGTTGGAATAATTACCCATCCAGTTGGCTCATGAAGATCAACAAGTTGAAGTTCTTGTAAATCATTATGATGAATACCGGTACGGATGGATATTCTAAAGACAAAATACCTTGCTTATAAAATCATGTACAGAAATTTTAAAGTATTCATACCGATTCGGTGTATAACTTTCGTCAATTTTAAAATCAGAATAAAGACAAATATCTTTAATTTTTGTTTTTCTCTTAAATTGTATATTGACTAAATGTGGCTGTGGGCCATCCGACTGCCAGTATGTTTCAAGGTTCTCATCCAATAATTTATCAACACCATGACCTTAAGGAAACAACATGAAGTTCGCATTTTTTCAGTTTTATTTCCGTTAATGCATACCTGGTTTACAAGACGATACATGCCAATAAGCTTGTTTCGTTATATTTTGTACGATACCTTCTTTTTCTTCTTCTCTTGGATCAGTTTCACGATTCCCTTTACTAATACGAATCGTGGCTGCTACTGGTAGAGGCGTCGTTGCTGTTATTGTTGTTGTTGTAGAAGATGCCATAAATAACTATCCTTCAAACATCTATCTGTAATGTGAGAAACAAAACGAAGAGAACAAGAAGTAATAATGGAAACGCGGAGGAGTTTTCAGAAAATATTAGCTCAATGGACATAACGATCCCATTTCCATAACTCTGTATGTGATGATTAATGGAAGAGATGACTTATTGCATAACTTACACTGATTCTTAGACTGCATCAGTATGTTCATATGAACATCACGCCCAGAATAATTATATCCATAAAAATATAAATTAATTTTTTGAGATTCAACTTTTGGTTTATGCAGCAAGATCTGAACATGTTCAAAAACTCAAATAGAAGAGTCTTACATTTAGTAATAGGTGATCGCCTAGTTAGAAAAACGTTTTTGAAAAAGTGAGTGTCTAGAAAGAAAGTAAAACAATTTTCGTTTTACAAGCAACAGGACTTTCCATCAGCATACTCATCTAAAAGCCATACTGACTGCATCATTTATCTGTTTATCGTTTTTCTCTTATTTTTGTAAACAGATAGCACAGAAAACTCACATTAACATTTGCTCATACGATACTCAAGAGAATCTATGTTACAATTGAAAGTTTCACTTTTTTTTGTTAATAAAATATTTGTTGTTAAATATAAGTCTTATTTGGAATTTCGAAAATACCAAGATGTATTTGTGAAAAATACGATTAATTAAGTGCGATAAGAATCTATCTACAGAAAAAGGATCCAGTTCATTGCAATTTGTGATAGTTATCAATGTATTGTTTATGATAAAATCAGACAATAACAAAAAGACGTTCGAGAAAAAATAGCAAAGACACATTTTAGTATTGAAATTAGAAAACCCTGTTAAAAACACAAGCTAAAAATATTTTGTTTTTAAAAAAGCTGCCAAAATAGAAAAATTTTCAAATGTACCCCCGGTGAGTCTAAACATTTGCATTCTGTTCCCATATCAAAACAAAAACAACCAGACAATGAGAACACATATCACAGTCACAAGCAGATTTATCACAAAAGAGAGTGTGAAACGTTAAGAAATAGAAATGATAGGAGAGATTAGTACAGTAGAAAATCACAAAACATAGACATAAAAATACTTTTTGTCGGCACACATTTACTGTTGCAGAATCAGACTATGATGCATGCAACTAGCCACCACCGCCGCCGCCACCACCTCCTCGAAGAAGGTTTTCTGCAGCTGATGGGATTGTATTTTGTTTGTCTTTCTCTTTATTCTCTCGTCGTTCGGCACATTTTCTTATTAAATTAATCATTAAATCTTTCTCGAGATCAACGAAAGCTTTCTGATTAAATACTTCTAACATATATTCAGAACATAAATCGTAGATATACTCAATAAGTTGATCAAATGTGGGAGAGTATTGTTTAGCAAATGTGTACGCTGATATTATATGATCATGATTTGTTCTTAAATGGTAGCATACTTGTTCTAATGATGCATTTTTTGCACCGGTCAAATTGATGCGATCAGAATATATCATACAATCTATATATAGATCGAAGGATAAATTTGTATGGAATGTTCCTGTATATAAAAAATATAATATTTCAACGAATGCATCGTACTTAACGTCTGCAATTGATAATGGACCCTGTTTGAGCAATTCTTTTTCACGCATATCATTTAATATTAATGCACGAAAATATGAACTACG